AGGGCTTTCACATTTCAGGAACATGTGTATCACTTGTGACAAGACCTTCCCTTGGGGCCTCATCTGACCTTGACGTTTTACTTTCTTTAAAAAAAGCTTTATCCTTCGTCATAACTTTTGAACAGTTGGTGCTAGGGTTTTCAAATTTCACACTTACATTCCTCGAGACAAGACTTTCTTTGGGTACCAACATTTTTGATCTTTTGACCTGGAGTTTGACTTGCATTTGAGAAACTTTACATTCGTCATAAGCTGCCAAATGGGGGCATCAGTGTTTCACAAACACATCTTTTTTTTTATTGCAAGAAATTGAACTTGAACACATATTAATTTTGTAATAGATCGATTCTAAATTTACGTCACATTTATTGTGTGTGTAAAATAAAACTTGTCTGCTTCATTTTAATATTATAATTATGAGCAGGGTTTTGAAATGCGTTTACAGGCCTACATTTTCCATCCATTTAATTCAATATAAATGGCAATTTGGACATAAAAACTTGTTTGAATGCAAAGAAAAGTTCACTTGTATTAAGTACTAATTTTAAAAACCAGTGACAAAAAGTTAATTGCTCTTATTTACAACTCCTTTCATAAGAGGGTAGAAAATTTTATCAATTGAAATCAGGCTGAAAACATCACCATTTTCAAATACTCATGAAAATGAAAATGGATAAATGACTCTTAAATCTCACCGTATGTTTTAACTTATGTAATTTTAACACATGAGATTGATAAAGTGATCAAGTACATTTTTAATTTGTTATCTCATTTGAAATTGGTAATAAAATGACTATTTTCCTGTTTTTAATCTTTAAACACATGCCCCCCCCCCCCCCCCCGTGAGACAACAAAACCTTTGGAATGAATAACAACTGAAAAAAAAGGATCTGTTGTTTCGCGGGGAAAGATGTTTTGAAAATAAATTTCCATTTTCCGTTAATTTCTATACTGAAATATTTTCTCAAATTAAAGATCAATATCTCTTTGTTTTCCCAAATTAGTTATGTTTTACATACACGGATCTAGAGGGGGGGGGGTCGGTGGGAGGGGTGGGTGGGTGTCCGGACCACCCCCTGGAATTTGTAGAGTTATTTAATGTATATACTAAACCAACTAAAAGCCACGGTGACCTTGACCCCCCCCCCCTCCTAGAAAACGTGGATCCGTGTTAAGTTGATATGAAAAGTCATAGATATTAAGCATAAGATGTCAACCACTCCCCTCCCCCGCCGAAATAGGTTTCTTACATTTAGGAAAGGAGTTTACCTTTTTTTTTTTTTTTGAAAAAAAGAAAAGAAAAGAAAAGAAAAATCGTAATATTCCTAGATACTACTTCACACCGTGAATTAAAACTAAGCAACGTAAAACTGTAATTTTCCCCCAGCGAATTCAACATCCAAACTTCAGCCTATTGATTTACATCCTAATCAATGACACATTTGGCCATGTATTTATTAACCACTCTTTTTTCACACATTTATAACCCTGAAATGTAAAATACAGAGCATGTTTCTGTGTGCGTTTTATTTTAAGCAATCATATAGCAATCGGATGTTGTCAAATCCGGCAAATTTTTTTGAAAGCACTGGTCACTGAAAAAAAAAAAAAAAAAGTTTTACTGCACGATGCTGAGCACAGTCAGGTTTAGAACTGGTTTGGACATTTCTGCAGATCTTTATTTTGTTTTTGCTTCATTTAGGATCCATAAACTCTTTCTCAATCTTCGTAAAAATAATAAAAAAAAAATAACTTGACCGTAGAAAAGTTTCTCAGATCATCTTTGAAATTTATTACCAACATAAAAAAATAAAATTATGGTGGAAATGCGATGTTATCAAGTGAAACTACATGTACATGAAGGCAATGACTGAGGACGTTTCTAAAATATTTTTTTTCATTTATCATTATTGGAAAAGTAGGAAAGTAGGGAAAAAAATACTAAAGACCCCATTTACAACCTTTATACAGATATTAAGGTTCATCGATACTCTTATAAGAGAGATAACTCTTAGTGACATAAATGTCTATTATTCTTTCATAAATTTTACAAGTTGAAATGTCTTTTTTGTCCAATTTTGCCCTACAAGCTATGCTTTTATCGTTTCTATTTTACTTATAAAATACTTTCTTTTGGAAAATCATAACGGTTTTAAAAAGCAAACTTTTATATATATGAATAAGCAGAGGGTTTATGAATCTTAATTTGATTATTTTCGTCCACAATTACTAAATCCGTGCTTTTTAACAAAATTACTCTTACAATTAAATAAATTGATTACAAATTGTCTGGTAAAGCGGCACATGAGGATAACTTTGCCTGGTGTATGTCTGTATATCAATTGATTGCAAACTAGATATGTTTGACAAAATAGTGAAACCTGGCCCCAAGTCCATAAACTGAGAACAGACTTAAGTCAAAATTTTAAACCAATATAACTTTTGAAATAATTTTGATAATGAAACAAAATTTTTATCATATATTTGAATTTAAATGTTAGGTAAAATTGCAAATTTTTAAGCAAATACATGAAATAAAACTCAAGATATTAAAAATCAAAATTTTGACTTAAGTCTATTCTCAGTTTATGGTCTTGGGGCCTGGTAAATTTTAAATGAAACACATGATATTTTCTGCTGTTTCCTGTTAGATTTTTTTTTCCACTTTACTATTCCTATGTCAAGTTGTAAGTTATAAGGAATGAAAAAGATTCGATCTTATCTAGATTCCTAACTTTGTAATATAAAAAAGGTAAATTTATACTGTCAGAAACTTTAAAAGAATAGTTTCTTAATAATGAAACATAATATTGAGCCCTGTCATATATCAACGGCAAATTATCAATAATGAGGAAGATAAAGGACTTACAATGAAAACATATAGAGAATATACAAAAAGTCTGCTCATGACGAAGATCATATTATCACTATTTATTGTATACATGTTGTAGTTTCCAATTCGAATTTTGGGGGGCTTCATCTATGAGGAAGTCTTTTGGAATTCTGTTCTTGACAACCAATTAATTTCGAAATCAGCATCATTACAATTCTGTTAAATTATTTCAGTAACACTTTTATAAAATGGATTCATTCCTGTTGCGGCATCAAGTGTAGATCTCCTTATTTCTCTGTTAACGTTAAACAATACCAAAGATCCCCTATTGTATCTGAAAATCACGCGTAAGTCTATTGGGCTTTACATTTAAATTTACAACAAGCAAATTTAAAGAATTGTGGTCCCCCGCTTTCGGTGTCTTAGAGGTTTGGATGCACTTATTAATGGCATATTGTAACTGTCTTGTTTGTACGTCCTTCAAACCTGTAGGTCAAGGTCATGAAGTAATAGATAATATACCTTTCTGAAAGGTGTTCTCATAGGTAATGTACATGCACTTGCTAAGTATGGAAACCCTATCGTCTTGATTTTCTACATTTTAGCTACCTAGTTGTACAGTATGCGTTGAATGTTATTTTTTACATGATCTATTTTGGGGCATGCTCGTTGTTTGGCGGCTTACTATATTTTCATATGTATTTAATAAAATGTTAAAATCTAATCATTGTTTTAGTTACACTTTTCTGGGATAAAATTGAGAGTGTAAAAAAGACATAAGTAATATAATTGGATTGAAACTCTTTTCAAGTCCGTGGTTCTGTTGAGCTTAGAGACAGGTCAACTCTATAAAAGATACATACAGAAGCATATTCTCCTTAGATGGGGTTGACGAGTTGACGATATTTATGTTTGTACACTTGTCTATCTGCCTACTTCTCTGATGAAGAAACTTCAATCTGGGTAACATGAACTTCTTTATGTATCAAATGTATTTCTTTATATAAAATCTGTAGAACAACGTCTGTCTCTAACCGGTGAGGTAAATTTTAATGAAGGGCATGATATATATATATATATAAATACCTGATGTATATCTTTTTTTTTTAAAAATAATTAAAGTCCCATAAGGGGATGGAAGGACTCATTTGTATGTTTCGCCTGTCTGTATTGACGGTTTATGTTACCACTTGACAATAATGCAATTCACTGAGGACACCAGAATACTAGAAATTCATCATTCCGGAAGGATAGCAAATCAGTATCTGAGTAACAGGAATGTTTTTGATTGATTGATTGTGTGTTGTTTAACGTCCCATTCGAGAATGTTTTCACCATTAAAGAGACGTCCCTGGATGACGTTGAACGGCTTTAAATTTTTATCTTTACTCGGCACTCACTGCAATTGAGCAGTGATGGTTCTTTATGGTGCCAGTGCCTACCGTGACACGTGACCTCGGTTTTTAAGGTCTCTTCCGAAGGACCCGTGACTTTAGCCGGGCGCTTGGTGAAGGAACAGTCACTATCTATGTTTACATCTTGACGCAGCGCGGCGAACGAGAATCGAACCCGGGCCGCTCGAAGGAATGTTTTTGAAAGATCATGAATAATAAAATTACAAAATTTTCTTGATATAATATTCCTCCATGCTCCTAGGTTATAAACTTACGAGAACAGTTATTTTTCCAAATAAAGTAAAATTTTAATGATTTTAATAACCAATAATGATTTTACTTATCAAGAAGGTATTTTGGTATAAAAACAAAACAAGCTGAAAGAACTACGCACGCACGCACATGTCCATTAATTTTGAACGATCAAATTTTGATCAAACTGACAGCAGCTTCAATGTGTGGAAAAAGAATCTTTATTGGAATCGATTGAAAAAAATACACACAAACAAAATTGAACTTATTTTAGAATACAACTACTAGTAAGATTATTTATCATGCCATATAATATGAAGATATCTTGCATAAGTTTTGACTACGTGTGCAAATTGTATTTTGTGTGCAAATTGTATTTTATTCATCCGGCAATGAAATGCGAGCTTATTAAACAGGAAGTTATGTCATGAGTATCACGTGCAAGATTTTAATTTTTTTAATGTATGAGTCACTTTGCCACAAAGAATCTGGATCAGAACAATAAAAATAACTAGAAGTGTTGTATTTGGAGCAAGAGAAACATCATGAATACGCTATACATTGCTGGAATTATTTGTCAGCTGGCAAGCTTTGCAGGTTAGGCATTAAAATAACCTATCACTGAAAATTTCGTATCAAATTAGAGGAATTAATTGATATAAATAAAAGGTTATGTTTTTGAATTATCTGATTTCTTTGAATTGACGATTCGAATTCTAATCATTTGCATGTATCATCTTTTGGCTTAGGCGTCTCTTATGCTCAGTGTGACCCGACAGGGTATCCTAAATGTCTAGCCGGGGTTCAACTTCCGCAAGGGGAAACAACAAGAGATGTTAATTGCACGTAAGTAAAGTTTGTTTATGCAAGTTCAAATGTTATTTTTCAAAACTCGACCATGTTTACTCACTCAAATAATTTCCATGCTTTCCTATTTAAGTTAATGCAATTTTCATGAAAGCAAAAATTCGTAAAAAACACTTTAATGATAAAAATGATAATAATTCTTGCTTTCTTGAAAACGGTTCCTTTTTCAAGAAACATTACCTTCAACATTACCTTTATATTTTATGAAGTAGCTTGTTTGACTTTTATATATTAGGTACAAACAAGAAATTACTTTTTTTATTGCATGTATTATTTTATTAATCCATTACATAGCTGGAATTTAGGCTAAAATAAACAAAATACATAGCATAAAATTATTATCGGATTTTACAGAGCTTTGAGACAGGTAGCAACCTGTCTTGAACCATAAAAAGTTCTTGTGCATCAAATACAGACTTCCAGCGCATTTTACAGACAATCAATATAACATGTGGTAAGTAACAGAACCTAACAGTTTATCGTAAGTATAAGTATCTATTAAAATATATATTTAATCTAAATATGAATATAAAACATTTTAATAAGTGACAATTGTCCTGTTTTTTTTTTTAATATTTACAATTTTATAATTCATAAATACAAATTAGGTAATTTTGTTTCCATCTGTGTCCGATGTTTATTCATAGATTTTTGATTTATTTTATTTTGAGGTAGAAATATGGGAAAAAATCTGTTCAATGAAAGCAGATATTATGTAAATTGTAATTCCTTGTTGATTCACATTAATCTTCAACTTTATTAAAAAAAGAAAACCTGATATGTACTATTACCGAAGTTGGTGTTGGCACGAAAAAGATCCCTCGCTGCTCAATAGCCATGAGTGTCGAGTATAGGTATAAATTTGTAGCCCGGCCTCCATCGGCAAGTGGTAGCGTCTCCATATGAGTGAAAATAACTCAAAGGGACGTTAAACAACATACAAACAAACTTTTACACTTTGTTTGAAAAGTATCAGTAATTTGATTGAAAGAGTACGGATTGATGCATTGTTCTACACTAAAGTCATTAAAAGGAACTGAAATGTATTTGAAATGTAACATGAAATTTATTTTATTGTAGAAAAAATATTAAAATCTTGAGCACCTGTTTAAAACTACCCTTCTGTTCAAGGGCATAATGGAGACTCGCTTCTAAATGAAATAATCTCATGATTATGCATGAAAACACAACGTATTTCGGTTTCCCTTTCCAGTAGAGAATAATGACATAATTGTGACTTTTGTAGGTGATTCTAGCTGCGACTTAATCAAGTGCTTGACAGACATGGGAATAGATTTTGGAAGTTTACAAAGCGATCCAGAGAAAGTTAACTGGTATTGTCTTTTTACATTCAATAATATAAGCATTTCATATGTAGTAGATTTTGAAAGAAGAAATAAAAGCTTGTCAAATATTCCTTGTACAGCAGAACATCTTTGTCTATTTATTTCATAATATTGCAGAGAGTTATTCACACACTGTAACGTGGACGAGCTAGGCTTCCCTTCCAAATCAAGAATTTCTTCAAATGAAAAGAATATATTTACAAAAAGACAGAAAGGATAAAAGAACGAAAAAATCAACCATTCATACACACTCGCTCCCCCTCTCCATGTCCCTCTCTTTCTCAACTATATAGACACTAAAATGTAATTCACGAGTATTTACGGTAAATAAAGGAAAAATCCGTCAACAATTCAGTGTGTATATAATGGTCTTACAATTAGAATGAAAAACGTCAGTAAGCATATGACTTAATGATAGATTTGCTGACAAGGTCATTGTATCGCCATAGAACTTACCAAATGATGACTTTAAACGAGACTGTTGAAATTTTTAATTACAAGAAAACTTTACAGAGCCATCATGTTCACGTTCTCTTTCACCCTATAACTTCGCCCTACAACTATAGTCCTGCTGGACACTTTATTACTGGTGACGTAAATATAGTTACTAATGAGGACCCTAAATCACTAACTTTAAAAGGGCCAAAAGTTAGAGACCCCGATCTTTCAACTGGAATCATAATTTCATAAACATATTGAATTCTGTGGAAGATTACCCAGGCGATGGGCCAGAGATGAAAAAGAGGACATTGCCACTTTGTCAACATGGATTAAATGTATCAGATGTATGTTAAAATCTCGCATTAAGCAATTGAGGTACAATATGAAAACCATCTATCCTTCTGTGTTCAGTATAACTCAGAAGTGAAAAAAGAATTTGATAGACTACATTTTCAGTATGTAGTACTAGTGGTCCCCGCTGACAAAGCAGGTGACAACATTGTCTTTGTTTGTAAGGCTTATTATTAGTCCCTTACCGGTGAAACCGGAGGGGACTATACTCGTAGGTTTTTTTTAATTGTTTTATAGAGGAACTGCGATTTAATTCTACAAGTGGCAATCCAACTTATACCCATAGCTCCTTTTCTATGGAGGAAATTCTTCAAAATCATATGTCAGTTTTGAATATTTTCAATATTCCCAACAACCAAAATGAAGTTGAATTACCATATTCATATTGGATTCCAAAACTTCATAAAAATCCTTAAAAACAAAGATACATAGGGGGTTCCAGTAAATGTTCTATCAAGCCCTCACTAAAATATTAACAGCAGTGAAGGAGAAACTTCAAAAGTACTGTGCAACAATATATTCGAGAAGTTTTGTAAATCAAATGTGGAAAGTTAAAAATTCAAAGGAACATTTGGAAAATTTGAAATCACAAACTTTTACCATAACATAAAAAACTTACGACTTTTCAACTCTGTATACAACCATTCCCCACGATAAATTAAAGTCCAGGTTTTGTGACATCATTGAGAGCTGTTTTTTAAATAAAATTTAACTCGTAAATTTACTTACTTTGTCATTAATAATTTGCAAAATCTTTTTGCTAAAAACATTCTGATTGTAAATATAAGTACTCTGAAGTTGATATTACAAAGATGCTTGAGTTTCTGATTGACAATATCGATGTGGTGTTTAGAGACCAGGTCTTCCAACAATTTGTTTTGAATTTCCATGGGTAACAATTGCGCCCCATTGTTAGCAGACTTTTTTGTATTCATATGAAGCAGAATTTATTTGAAGTCTTATACGTGAGAAACAGAAATCTCTTGTTGGACTTCAGCTCGAGATTACCGTCAGGGTAACTCATTCGACAGAGTGCTCGCTCCGTGATTGGAAGGTCGTGGGTTTGAGCCCCGGTCGCGACTGACCTAAGCCGAAAAAAAAAAAAAAACGTAGTAACTGTTCCTCCGCCAAGCGCTCGGCACTTTGAAGTGAAAGTTGCGGGTCCTTCAGATGAGTCCTTAAAAACGGAGGCCCCCTGTCACGACAGGCGTTGGCACGATAAAGATCCCCCATTGCTCAATGGCTCTGAGTGCCAAGTAAAGGTCTAAATTTGAAGCCCTTCACCGGTATATGGTGACGTCTCTATATGAGTGAAAAATTCTCGAACGGCACCGAAAACAACAACCAACCAACCATTCATTCAACATGACTTTTAGATATATCGACGACGTATTAACAATTAACAATAGTTATTTCCATTTATGTGTCGAGTTTGAAAAAAAAGATACACGTACCACAGAGTCTGACACATCTGTTTCATATTTGAATATTGTATTTGAAAAATACGTTAATGGAAGCGTAACATCAAAGCTTTGTGATAAACGTGACTTTAACTTGTCAATCGTCAACTTCCCTTACTTATGCAGCAATATATCCTTATCATCTGCATATGGGGTGTAAATCTCTCAATTGATTCCATACGCAAGAGCATACTTTACTTATGAACAATTTCTAAAACGAGGTAAGTTATTGACAAACAAGTTGATGAAACAAGAAAATCAGCAATCTTGTTAAAAGTCATTATTTCTTAAGTTCTTTGGTCGATACAATGCCCATGTCAGCAAATACAATCTATCATAAGTCATATGTTGACTGACGTTTTTCATACTACGCAGTACAGTCAAATATTGACTGACGTTTTTCATACTACGTAGTACAATTAAGGTGCAAAATGGAAATATCGGCGAATTTTTTAGATAGAAAGTACATTCTATACAAGGATGGGCGATTCTTTTTAGGACTTTATTATTATCGGACAAATTCAATGTGGTTGAAAACTACACGTTGAGGACTATTAGATTTCTTATTAAGACTTTTCACATGAGGTGGCAGTCATTTTAGCTAATATACTTGAAGTATTGAAGTTATCTATAAATTCCAATATTGCAAGGGCATAACCAAGTTAAAAATAAAAGTTTAATTGATAATTATTTTCAACTCTCTTTGTAGTTTGTGAAAAGTGCTGCGAACCTATATAAATTCTACTATCTCGACTAAAATTACATTTGTTAGGCCGTATGTTGAATATTTTGCTGGTCAAGGACATTAAATAAAGATATAATTAATTCATTTGCCAGATTTCATCAGGTTCGCAGCACTTTTCAAATATCTTCATGCTTCTTGAGTTTATGTGTAAATGCTTGTCATAATTCATTGAGGGTATGCCCTTGCAATATATCGATTTATTATGACCCTTCATCACCCTTCAATGAATCTGCAGACAAATATACGGCAGTATCGCTTGTCTAGGGAATGTGTGGGAAGTATGAATAAAATCATAAAAAGAGACATTGCATTCAAGTTATGGCCTTTTATATACATTTACCTGCAAATAATATTTTATTTAATTACAAAATACATTTTTCATTGTATAAAATATGACTTGATCCGCCTCTAACAGTATACAAACTGCGTCAAATTTTACGATATGACGTCACATTGACAAGTGCATTGCGATTAGTGAATTGTTTATATATTGCTGTGTGGGATTTAACCAACGACAAAAATACATGTATGCAGCAATATACCTTCATCACCTGCATACGAGGTATATATCTCTCAGTTGATTCGATACGCAAGAGCATGCTCTACGTATGTACAATTTCTAAAACGAGGTAAATTATTGACAAATAAGTTGATGAAACAAGAATATCAGCTGTCTCGTTTAAAGTCATCATTTCGTAAGTTCTATGGTCGATACAATGACCTTGTCAGCAAATACAATTTATCATTGAGTCAAATGCTGACTGACGTTTTTCATACTGATTGTTAGGCCATTATTTACACACTGAATTGTCGACGGATTTCTCCGTTATTTCCCGATCATGACAAGGAGCACACGGCGGGTGTGACCGGTCGGCAGGGGATGCTCACTCCTCCATGGCACCTGATCCCATCTCTGATGTTTGGAGGTCCGTGTTTGCTCTTCTCCTATTTTGTATTGTTTAATGGACTTTTGAGCTTGAATACTGTTCGTTATCTCCATATATTTCATGTAGTAGTTAGTATTGATGTAGTGTAAAGCTATCCAACAGTTTAAAATAGCAAATCATTTCATTTTGTGGTCATTTGAAAAAGTTATAATTTTGTGTGATGTCATAGTAAGCATTTCCAGTGTAAATTAGGCCCTCCTCCTTATTGTAGCCTTAACTGTGCTGCGTAATCGTTAGGCCATTATTAAAACACTGAATTGACGACGGATTTTTCCGTTAGTTACCGAACATGACAAGACGCACACGGCGGATCTAAAGTTGAAACTTGTAATTAATAGAGACATATAAAATTTCATGACTTACGTTTGCTCGTTCATTTCAAGGAGCACACGTGGGTGTGACCAGTCGACAGGGGATGCTCACTCCTCCATGGCACCTGATCGATCCAACTCTGATGTTTTGGAGGACCGTGTTTGCTTTGCTCCCGATTTGTATTGTTTTAATGGACTTTGACCTTAAATACTGTTCGTTATCTCCATATATCATTCATGAAACAGATGTGGCAGATTCTGTAGTGTCTTTTATTTCAAGTTCACTGGGATATATCGAATCGTAATATGAATTGAAGAAACTATTGTTAATTGATAATACATTGTCGATTTATGTAAATGTCGAGTTGGAGGCCACAGCAAGTATTTTCGCTCATGTAGAAGTTTTTAAATAAAATCTGCTTCATAGAAATATAAAAAAAGGTCGGCTAATTAAGGAGCACAATTATTGACTATCAGAATTCTAACAGTTTGTTGAAGGACCTGGTCTACGAATACTATATAAAGGTTGTCATTGAGGATCTCTAGCATCCTTTCAATATCAACTTCAGAGTACTTGTGTGTAGAATCAGATTGATTTTTAACAAATGTGATTTCCTCATGTTTTCAACATATCCTTAAATCATCATCATCAAAACGTCTTCATTGGCGTCATCACTGTCTTCATCATCATTTTGATGTACACCTCAGCATAGTGCACGGTATATTTTCCATTCATGCATCCTATCACGATGTCTACATGTATCTGCTATTGTAACGAATCTTACAAAAATACATATTAGAGAGATATTGAAAATGATTTATCAAACCTTTTTCTTAACTTTTCATACCGAAATATACAATGTCTGGGTTTGGCCAATCGACAGGGAATGCTTACGTCTTTATAGCGCAAGATCCATTCTCTGAAATGATTTTTTTCTGATGTTTTCTGGAGCCCATGTTTGCTTTCCTCTCAATATGTATTGTTTAAATAGATTGTTGAAATAAACTGAGCATTATTACTGGTCGGAATTTTGACATTTCAATATTACATGCAACAAGAAAAATTTTCACTATTGATCTCTCTTTTTCACTGTAAATACACACCAAATAGGGAATATCTTCATACAATTTCCTTTTCAACACCATATTACTATGTGTAAACTCGTACCAAAATATGATTACTCATTAATTATTTTCATATATTTTTTTTAAAATTTGTTTAAGGGATATTGCTTTATCATATTTTCTTCTTCCCAGCGAGAGTTTTCGTGCAGCGCAGCCTTGCTTTGAAAGCCAAAAGAATGTTTGTGAGGGAAACACAATCTTCGAAACAGCTGCAGGTTATATTCCGCAATTAGAGTCAAGGTGTGGCAGAGGGGGTTCCTAAGGTAACCTGAGTGATTTAAAAAGTTACAAAATGCTTGAATATATTCTACACAAAAGGAACTCGGTAGTGTATTAAAAACGGGAAATATATTTCCAACCCGGACATAGGTCCCTCTGGAATAATTAAGATTGAACTAATAACCCCCCAAGGATTATTCATTGTATTATTTATAGAAAATGCATAGTATTTAAAGTACCCATTGTTTATTTATTTGAAAAATGCTTTATAAAACATCAAGACTGATTTTAAGTGTCTTTAATAGGCAATGGAACCTTCACTATCCAAGACACCTGGATCCTCCTGTTTGTTGTACTGGTCAATATGGCAGCTCTTTCTCAATGATTGCAGGATACTTACCAAAAACACCATTAAGGAACTATTTTCTCTTTGGGGGGGGGGGGGTAAAATGCCGTCGAGTTCGTGTTATAAAGAGACCCAGGAATTCATGTTCTCCACTAAAATTAAAATATCAATCTACAGTATCATTTTTCCTCTTCAACCAAGTAAATCAATAATTTTTCACTAACAACGAAAATTTTACCCTATGAAAACCCACGAAAATGGTACTAGCAATGGATATGGAACATCCTACGGAGATTTGTTATCAAAAGTGTGAAAGCAAATTTCAAAATTAATATGTATTGATCATCCGAGTGGCCTGTAATAGAATATAGTGCTTTTTTCAAAAAAAAATTATTCAATCGTATATGTTTGTAGAGTTTCAACCCATCTATAAACCAAATCGGAACATTGAAGAAACAAAAGACCCAAGGGTTTTACCGTCGCCTAAGTATAGTGAAACATTTTAAATAATCTATAGATTGAATATAAAATAAAACAAAATAAGCTGAAATATGAACTATGCTATGTTGCACAAAATCAAGAAAAATAGGATAACAACGGATCACCAAAATAATTTAATGTTCAGTAACACATCTGAAGGTTGATCTATTTACTTACCTGTACTTGTCCCCATTTGTCACTATTCCCATGCAAACAAAACAAAAGTTCTTGAGAACTATTTATAAATCCATCTCATATCCTCTCACATTGGCCTCCAGCTCTTAGTCTTTGATGAACATTTAATGTACAAAGATAAGGTATTGTTGTCCCATTTTTATTTATCTATTATTTACAAGTCTACCTGACCATTAAAACGTATGAAAGCACTTATTATATTAAAGATTATAACAATTATTGAGTTATTTTGTTCTTCAATTGCCCTTCCTGGCCCCTGACCCAGGGGCCACAAATTTGACTATTTTTGAAGAGGCATCTTGATCATTTTAACCATGTTCCTATTTTATCTGCTTAAAATACAGGGGGAGAGAAGATTTTTAAAGAATTTATGCATTTTTACTTTATGATCATTTGAGCCCCATTCTAACTCCAGGACCCCCGATCCTAAGGCTATGAATTTCACAATTTTGTTAGAGGGCAGAATGCTTATTTCAATCATGCCAAGACTTTGATTGCTGTATGTCCAGGAGTAAAGAAAAAGATTTTTAAAGATAGCAAAAATTTGATGGTTTTAACCCCACCCCTAAGGCTCCATTGGGCAGGGACGATGAAATTAATAATTTTGATCCCCTTCACTAATAGATGTTTTATGCCAAAATTGATGAAATGAATCAGCGGCTGCAGCAAAAAAAAAAAAAAAAAAAAAAAAAAAAAAAGCTGAAAATGTTCAAATGATATCGCACGACACACGATGGTGGATTAAAACAGATAGAAAATTAAAAGATCACCTGAGTGACTCAGATGACCTCAAAGGGCTAAATTTGACCGCCTATTTAAAAATGAAGATTTGTAATAGAAAACTGGTGTTGTATAGTAAAACTTCTGCATAGCAATTAAACCTTCCCCTCGGAATGTTAACTACATATATAGTAAAGCTTCAGCCTCGGAATAATTACTAAATATAATACATTTCTAGCTTTTGGATACTTTACTATAAAGTGAAATTCCCCCAAGGAACGTTGAGGATATAGCAAACATTTCCTTGAATAAATCATGCACCTTGATATTTTGCTATGCTTTCAACGTTTTCCCTTAACCATGCTTAATCCCAGGATATTATTCACATTCATCGTGCTATCTGACTATTGATAATCAAAATTAGTTTTAGTAATGAGCAAGATTCCAAATCAAGAAAGGTAATACTATCTCCTCACCTTCGTTATATGTAAACTGGTTAAAGTGGTATCTGGATGGACTATCGTGATTACATCGTAAGACAATACAGTTATATTTTGAAATCGAAGTAGCATTTTTTCTCACATTTTGGCGAGGTGTGTTTGAAATAACTGTTGTGGTCTTCAAAAGAATTGGATTCTGATTTTTTTTTTCCTTAAAAAATGCATGTTCACAAAAAAACTTACAATACTTACATGTATTTAACAGGTTGAAACTTTACTGAAGTAGAATAATTGTATTCCTATTAGAATACAAAATCAAAACCGTTTACGGTTAGATGGGAAGGTTACTATGTGGAAGAAATAATATCTAAGAAAATTTTCCGCTTGAGGGAAGGTTTACTATACAGTATGTATACATTAAGGCAGGGGCCTATATACTAACGGGATAGGCAACTTCTACAGTTTCCTTTGCCTCTATCATGAAATCACGTAAGACGCGAAACTTCGCGGGACGAGTATAGACTCCATCGCCGCCATATTGAATTTTTACAATATTAGTGCTTCATTTTCTTCAATAACATCTTCAAATCAAAAATTGCACCACCAATTTAGTCAGGTAAGTGTTGTATTATCTTCATTGATTACTAGTGAGCATATTTTGACCACCCGCGATATGGTGTTTACATATTAAGATAACCGGTCAGGCGTTGAGCCTCGTGGCTATGTTTACAAGCACAGCGGGTGTTGAAGAGGCATCAAAGGGGGTTAAATGCGGAGAATAATAATGGAAACATAATTTTAGTTAATGATAAAACATAATACGGCAAGTTTTAGAAAGATTCTGTGATATATTTCTTAATTATTGTCTCTAATCGTCGAATTTTGCAAATTAAAAAGCCGAGATGGGGACCCCAAGATTTTTCAATAAACATCTTAATTTTGAAAGAAAATTCAAAATTGTCGATTTTGAATATTAAAATAAATATAGTTCTATATATTGAAAATCTTTATCTTTAAATATTTTTTAAGTGGCAAAAACAACTCTTAAAGTTGGACATTTTTCTCTTGCGGCCATGTTTGTTTTTATCAGAATGTCATGCCGAGGTGGTCTTCGGAAAATTTCTTAAAACTTAAAGTTTATTGCATTAAGGTGAAAGAAAGTTCGATCAAATTGTACAGAAATAACCAAAGAATGGATCTTTGCTAAAAGATATTGGTATTAATTAAAGAGAATTTATAATTCAATAGTTTAAGTGGTGAAAATTCCAAAAACAAGTATAATAGATGGAAAAGACCATTGATTTATATATTAAGTATCATTTCCCTTCAAAAGGTTTTTCTCAAGGGTCCTTATTAAATGTGGTCCATATTATGATTTCCTCTTATTACATCTTGAATGAATACAAATCCAGAAAAAAATAAACAATACTGTTGTGTTTATACTCAAAATACTGGTAAAAGATCTTAGATATTTTATTCTTAACATTACTAGTCTTTTAATTAAGTGTATAAAATTTGCACTTCCAGACCCCCTGAATGTGTAATCTACCTGTAGCACACTCCCAAGGTAATACAATCAGCCAATCAAAATGAAGCATTATCTATATCAGTCAGTACTGTTAATTGTTTGTTTGTTTGTATGTTGTTTAACGTCCCTCTCGACAATTTTTGCCTCATATGGAGACGCCACCACCTGCCGGTGGAGAACTGCAAATTTTGTCCTATACTCGACACTTACGGCCATTGAGGAGTGAGGGATCTTTATCGTGCCAGCACCTACTGCGACACGGACCTCGGTTTATACGGTCTCATCCGAAAGACCGGTCTCCACGTCCCACAGTGGGATTCGAACCCGCGACGTAAGGATCAACTCCATACTCCGCGACTCTAGAGCAGACGCTCTAACCACTGCGCTAGGCGGACGACGTCAGTACTGTGAAAAAAGAATTAAGAAGAATGATAATACAATTACTAGCCATTATTACACCTGTTTAAATTGTAATGAACATGGAAAGTGCACAAATATAGAAGATGGTGTTTGAGATATATATTTATTTATAGTGTGTGTTTTAAATAAGTAGGGATTTTTTTCATAAATATTAAATTCTATACAATTGCACACACCAGTAGTCACCATCCAACTTTTCATAGATATATTTTCATTTAAGTTGAAATGTGCAGTACAATATTTTCTAAATATTATACTTTCATGTAAATTAGTTGAATCTGATTCGTCGAGAAACATTTGTTAAGAACACTATTAACCGCTGAATAATGAAGCCATGCCCTCCAGCGTAGCAACAGTTAACAATGCTTGACGACGGGTGATATTCCAAAGAAAATTGACTGTGCAGAATTTATGCACACATGGTTCACTGTAATATGTTTTTGTATAAAACATTCAGTATAATATAATAAATGATGCGTGTAACATTGAAAATTTTCAGCCCTCGGAACCATTGTCTCGGTTGCGCCTCGGATGACAATGGTTTTCTTGGGATGAAGATTTTCAATGTTACACTCAACTACATGCAATATTTATTTATTATCACATATATCAGGCATAAATATTTTAATTGCTATGAAGCTTGAATTCATTACCGATTCAAAAAAAAGCCAATGTAGTTTCAGATTAGTGTGCAAATTTTTTCAGCAAGAAAAGAAAATCACACTTTAGCATGTTTAGTGACACATTATTAGTAAGTTTTCAACTTTTCATTTTTATGAAAACAATGCATAAAAAAAAATCACTTTATCCAAATGTGTTTCCCAAGGGAGACTATACATAAATAAAAAAAGTGTTTGACTGATTTTGATTAGGAATGGCTTGAAGAATAATTTCCTAA